CTTGGCACCAACTAACATGACAGCTCAAAATAGACTTTTGAGACACTGGAATGGAATGAAATGACAGGTTGCTTTTCAAGTCTACTGATTTCCATTTTTCCTGGTCAGCTGCCAGGAAATTTGTGGACTCACCATGACATGGTTTGGTGAGTGGCTCTTGGGGTGTTGGCCAACTGGCCATGGGATGCGTTCAGTCATCCCAAATCTTGGATTGCTGTCACACCGAGATGGAAAAGAAAACGGTGCTCAGGTTTGATTTTTGCACACATTCTGCATTGACAAAGCTTTGTTTTGTCTTTCATCGGTCCTGCATGGTCCATGCTCGCACCATCCAAGGCTTCCAGTGAGTCAGCGCTTGGATCATGGCTGGGACAGGATTTTGGGGAGTTGAATATACCATGAAGGAATAGCTCATGAAAATACCATCAAATACCATCAATAAATAGGAGTGATATCCTCGGTGTCCTGTTCAACAGCTCAAGCTGGTAAGATTGGCCGATGGAACCGGCAAATGGCAAATTTTACTGATTGCCATTTACTACACTTACTGTAGTGTGTGAGCTACTCTTCACCTCGATACTTCAATGCCGGCTGGGATGAAAAAAGACAGTCTCAAGGCTGGACCAAGGACCTGCTTCTATTTGCTCAAGGTTCTGCATACCATGATTCAGTCTTACATACTAATTATATACTCACCTTCTCAGAAGGTATGTGGATCCATCGGGTTTTAGATTCCTTTTCTTCTAGGGCTCCTGGCCCACCGAGAGACCAAACCCAATTCACCCACCCCTGTTTAGCCTATCTTCACCTGAGCCGTTGCTTATGAATCAACGCCGGACCCGAGGGACCGGTGTGCTGCTTCCGCGGTTCCCCGCCTCCGAAGCCAACGCTCGGAAGCGCTTCAGCTCCAAAGGTTTCCTCGGCAGCATGGAGCAGCCCAGCCGGTACATAGCATCAAGGAACCTACAGGATGATGCACCATCCGGCACATGTTCAAACTGTTTCTTTTTTTGAACATGAGCAAGATTGTGCAAGTTGCTTGCACCCAGGTGTGTCAAGGTTGTTGAGGTATGGACATACCTGCACACCACTGCAAGCAGTTGTGGTTGCGGGTTGGTTGGTCCTTGGCCTGAACAGTGACTGTGGTTGTGGTTCTTCTCAAAAAACGGATCCATCAAGGAGCCACTTTGACACCGCACTTCCCGAACTTTGGAAGCCCTTGCTTGCAGGAATCATGGGAATATGCACCATGACTCGCGGCGGATGAGAACCTCGTGACCACCTCTCTTCCAGTGGGGAATGACACATATAAATACCAATTCCAATCCGTAGCCCACAGCTGCATGAAGCTGTTGCAGCTTCACTCCATGTGTTTCCCGGCCTTCTCGGGCTGAAAAGGCGTTCTTCCAGTGAGTCCGGTGTTGAATCGGCGCTACGAGTTCGGAGGGGCAGGCACCAATTTCTCGACTCCAGTGTCAGTGGCATTCTAAGACCTTCTGATGCCAACGTCAACCATCCTTAACCCTCAGAATCCTTGCACTCAGCAGTTGTCCGGACCCTCAAAATCCCTTTCCATGTGAGGGCACGGATTCTTAGGGAAATTCAACAAAACGAAAACAAAAAGAAAACATGTCCCGCACCAGATCTCCTAAGCAATCCGGTATCTGTCAAATCGAAACTCGCACGAGTTGAACACCTTCTGACGTCCTTCTTTCATCTGCTAAAATACACCCAAGAGGAATAGCCTTGGAAAATAGGATTTGTGGGCCAACATACATTCGATCCTATCGAATCCAATCCGCGAAACCGCTGCCAGGATCTGCGTTGCCCCCATCTTCAGGTCCCAGCATCAATTGCAAATGCTCTGAAAGCTCCTGGCACAGTTCCTCATCCTCGAGGACCTCCCTCACCTCCAACGCTCCGAATCCGTCTCCAGCACCGAACCACCCGGATGTTCCACCGCTTCAGTGGAGCTTCGTGGATGCAATGAACCACACCCGGGCGCAATGAAAACACCTACAGTACTTCGGGGATTCACCACAAATAGCTTCATGTTGCTTCACCCAGTAATGTAGACTGTTGATTCATAAAACCCCTCCGCCCGTTTGAATTGGACATCCTCTTCAAACAAGGGGGATGTCTTCATCTAAGAGTCTACAAAATTCGAGGGACACATGCCAATCACCCCAGAGCAAGTCACCAGTTGTCTTCGCACGGAGTCGCCTCCACCGCACCGATTTCCAGGCAAAAGTCCTTCGCCTGGAAGGCACCCAAGGGCTAAGGACCAATGGGAAGTCCAATAGCTGCAAGTCTTGCAAGTTCCTTTGGTATTTCTGTAAAAGACAAGTCAATCATGATCATCCCATCAATCTGTATCAATCACATTCCAAGTGATCCGAACTCCTTCTAGACCAGGCAGGCATCCTGTGAATACTTCTCTGACAAAATGGTACATGAACATGACCAAGCAGAAATCCAAACTACTACAGCAGGGGTCTGTCTGTTGAATTGGATGTTTTTCTGGGGACCTGGCAAAAACAATGCAAAAGATTGCAAAAGATACTCCAAAACCTTTTGGAGGAGCCAGATTTGACCTGCCTGTCAACAGTAATATGTCTATTTTGAATCCTGCCCCATGAGTTCTTGCCTAGGCCATCCTGTCCCCAGGCATTGAGTTACAGAAATTAGTGGACCACAAACACACACTAAACTTATCAAGTTCAAGAGGCTTCCAACCCTTGACCCACCCACGGGATGGTTGTTGAAACTAGGTTCCACTTATGGAGGGGTCCGGTTCCATGTCCGACCAGGTCAGCAATCACAACAAAACTGGCAAATGTTCACAATCTCCCAATATCAGGATGTTTCGAGAAGCAAGATAGCAACATCTCCTGAAGTAGAGATCCTAACCCTACAGGTCCATCAGAGCTCGATTCCTGGGAGTTGATCCAAAAACACGACCCAACCTTTCGGTAGACTGGACCGACAGGTGGGTCAAAGCGGGGATCTTCCCGGTCTCCCCGGCGTTTCCGCGTCACGTCGGTCACGTCGGTCCTCCTTGAGCTTCTCTGGCAGGCGGCAGAGATGCAAGAAGGCCGCCAGACCGAGGACCATCGGACCGACATGTGCGCCCAGCGGAAGCGAAGCACATTGAGATCGAGATCTGGGTGAGAAGCAGGGGAGCAAGCCCCCTCAAGGATCGATCGTATTTCGGTGTGTAAGAGAAGATGGAGCACGATTGGTTTGCTCATTCAGAAGCAAGAGATGATTACAAAATTCAACAGGTTCTCAATTCCAACCCTAGTATCTTTGGAGTGACAAAAGTAATTAGAAGTACTTTAAATATAGACACATGCACAACTCAGTTTCTTAGCTAACAGGTATCTACGACTTTCTACTATGTGGCCCTACGGGGGCCACACACGTTTTCACTCGCTCAACCACCAAGGAACGGCGCCTGTGGATCTACGATCTTTCGATGTTTTGCCACCATGATGCGTGTTTTACTAGTCTTCTAATGATTCCGCAATACCCATGACACTTCATGTAAGTATTTACCCACATGGTCATATGATTCCCACAAATGGAAACAAACTAAGGAGAAAAGACATGTCGACATCATTCGACATGGTCAAACTCTTGGTCATGAACACACTCTCAGGTTTGCAGATCTTCCAAATACAAAGAAGATCAAAGAAGCAGCAGTGGACTTCAAGGTGTCTTCCTACTTCAGGAAAATACTGTTGTTCCCTGGAATCATCATTGGGAATGCGCGAACATATGTGAACACCACCTGTTTTGCTCTGAGGATTTCATGGTCTTCCGGGATTTCTGGTGTACTAGTTTTCCAGGTTCCAGTAAGATTTTGTGCATTCCAGGTACTAGTTTTCCATCCCACGTTGGCCCATGATGATTCCAAGGAGTGTCGTCCTGGACGCGACCTGGTCGGTCCCGTCCCAGTGATGCGAGAGGGGTCGTTGGTCCCGTCCGACGGGCGTCCGGTCATTTGGGTTCGATGTGAGGGGTCAACCGATTGAAACAAAAATAAAGACACTCAGTTTCTTTTTTAATTTTTAAAGTTGTCTGTAAATCGTGTAAATATATGTAAATATGTTTCTATAATGGAATTTGAAGCGTGTGACCATTCCAAATTTCGAGTTTGATTGCGTGGGATTATCTTGCATGTGCAAAGAAGCTTAACGTTTGCCCACACGAGGCATATGGCTACTTCCCAGGAAATTCTCTTTTGGGGAGAAAAGGGGTTTCATCATCATGTGTTCTTCTCAAATCTTGCTGAAACTCAGGTGTTATCAGTAAGTCTCTCTCTCTCTATATATATATATTATATACATACACACCAAAAGGCAAACACACGTTCAAGGAAACATCTGTGATTTAAACCAATGCCACAATGATCGTCAACATCAAGAATAAGCAACCTCAAAATCTAACTTCAACATACTTGAACATTCTTAATGTCAAGGTTATCCAATGTCCAAAACCTAGAACCTGACCTCAATTCCAACCCCATTGGGCTCCATCTGCTGCGCAAACACCAATCAGTTGTGGCAAACCGGAGTGAAACAGGTATCACTTTTTTGTCGCCTGCCAGGTTCGTGTTTTTCTTCCCGGGTGCCTGCAGAATCAAAACCTGGGGTTCCAACCACATCCTCTTCGGTGGTTGGGGTGGGTGCCAGGGGGGTCTACCTCCGTGCTTGGAGTCGCATGGATTCGTCCTCTCACACTTAGACTCTCAGGCCCGTTTGGGGGATGCAATGACGTACGGTTTCGAAGAGAAGAAGAAGCATGAGTTCTTGTAGTGTGCTTTCAAGTTCCTCCTGTCCATCATGTCCATCCTTCATCATCCTTCTTGGATGTGTTGGTCGCCGGGTATGTACAGGCGCTTGTTTTGGTTTCCCGGAGAAGCTAACCACCTGGCAAAGCTTGCTTGTGGTGGGTGGCACCTGACGCCAGAGTTGCTTGGGCTGCTGTGATCGCAAAGCTTCCCAAAGCATTTGCCTCGGAGACGGGGTGCACTGGGACATTGAAAAACAGCTGGGAAACTTGTGCAAGGAGGGTTCGTGATCTAGTAAGAAGGGGTCAAGCAAAAAAGAACAACGCCTGCATTGAGGAAGAAGCAGGGCCACTGCGCGGAGTTGATTTCAAACACTTTCACACTTAAATGGAACTTCGATGCCAGTGCGGAAGCGGCTTCTTCGCTTTTCTGGATCGATCCGCCGACCTCCGTCGCCCGACACGTCTTGATTGTCTAGGTTTCTTCGGAGTTCTCTCAGCCAAAGAACTCCAAAGACTTCAATCTCAGCGGTCGTAGAAATGGTCTATTAGAAGTTGAGTCATGGCAATGGTGAGATTCTTTGAAAACAACAGAAAAAACGACATGGAGCACCACGTCATCAAGCTTCTCAACTGTCGAGCTCGTTCACACTATTCCCATGATGTATAAAGCACCAAACACCAAGCACCAAACTTGGTCATCTGATTGAGGTACCTTGCGCACTGTACGCGCTCAAAGCCCTAGACCTTCGTGTCGCCCCGCTGCCCGGAGGGGGGGGGCATCTGTTGGAGACCAAGAGCTACATCACCGTTACATCAAAACCATTCAAGCAACAATACTCAAGCCAAACAAACAAGGCAATCGATCAAAAGACATATGATCTCAAATGAGACCAGGCCCCCCCCCTAATTGAGGGGTGTCTAACAATAATAGCCCCTTAGGCCCTTAGGCCCTTAGAGTACTTTTTTGGAGTGGCCATGAAATAACAATCCCCTTATAGGCGTCCTGGTATTGGGCGTTTTATGCTGTTTCTCTTCGACGCGTCAGGACGGCACTGCCCCTACCACCGGCCCGCGCCGGGTCCGCCCGCCTGGTCTCCAGCCACATGGAACTACCCTTCAGGGCCTCGGTTGATGGGCGAGGCTCTTCAGGGTCCAAGAATGTGAGTTTGAACATGTTTAAAACCTGCTTGAACTATAAAGACTTTAGTTCACTTGAACTACTAAAGTCACCTATTATAGTAACCAACCCTGTATTTCCTCAACGTCTACAGAACTGACAACGCGCTTGAGCAGGCTTCATGCAACCTTACCCTGTGCTACTCCCTGATCTCAACAGAATGAATTCTGTGGGACGTGGTCTCTTTCAGCTCATGTTGGCGGCCCTTACTCTTCATTCGAAGCGGACTCGAACCGGCGAACGAAGCGAACCAATGTGAATTCTGCGAACAAGCCCCTTTGCAGCCAAGAAGAGCAACAGTTCGGGCGAGGTACAGTAGGACAAAATGACCGCGAGACAACACACAGACTCCCCTCGAAATCTTGGAGCAAATCGGAAGACCGAAGAAATGACACACCTTCTCCACCCAAAGATCCCAAAGCCAAGCCGCTGCCAATCCAGCTGCCAGCAAACCCAGCGTTAACATCACCTAAGGGCACCCCGTATGGGGTTAATGGACCCATGGGCATCTGTTCCCCAATGGCCCAGCCGTTTGAGTATGCATGCTGAAACATTGGGAATCTAGCATCTCATTCCATTATATAAGTGTCTTGTGACGTTTTGTGTGAAGCCCGGATACCGTCATACCATCCCTCGTGGACACTGGACTCCGGCAGACTCCGGCGGACTGTAGCCGCCGAGTGGTGACTTCATGCGACCCTGAATGGCCATTATCAGAAAGTCCTCACAGAACTTGGACAAATCTTGGAAGACATCTGAGGCCAAAACTGTTTGGCTTGTGATGGGCCAAACGTGTGACCTGTTTGGCTTACCTTCGGTGGGTATGCTTGACAGTTTCTGTGTGCTACAAAACCTGTCAGTCGCAAAAACAATGTTGTTCTGTATGTCACGCCTGTGCGGGGTATCGCAACCTCCAAGACAATGAAATACATCCAACTAATACAAATCTAAGGCCGAAGAACTAGAGATCGGGCCACCTTTCACCTGGACAGCCCATGGTTTCCAATATGGTTTCCTTCCAATCCATGTGTGAGAACATGTGAGAACCAGTGTTCATATCATCTGGATGGATGTCCCACTTTAACCGGATAAATCTCGATCTAGTTGTGATGTTATCCATTTTGCAATCTTCCAAAAACCTGCAAAAGGGTAGTTATTGGAAGGAACACATATATACCTAGAACCTCTTCGTGGGAAGACATTTCTGTCTATTTGAGGAAAAGGCAGTGCTTACACGTTCTTGCCCCCTATAGACGTTCTTGTCCCTTCTTGGCGTTCTTCTCCTTTTGGTGGCAGCAAGGATCCACCCACTACTGGTTCCAGGAATTTCCACAGTGATGAACATCATGTAATCATGTGAATGATGTGTATATCAGGAATTCACTTGATGCTTCACTTGCATGTTGTTTTAGTGTGTCTATGCTTTGATTCGTTGTTGGAAAATCCTTTTGTGTAGGCGGTCACTCTTCCCGTCATTTAGGGGTTCTTGCCCGTTACTTAGGCATTCTTACCCGTTCCCCAGTTCCCCTCCCTACAATCAGCAGTTGGGTTGACAAAGGAATGGTAGCCTTTTAGAGGGAGTGAGCGATATGCGTTTCAAATACTTTAGATCAGGGGCGGCAAGCTTTGGTTTTCTCAAAGGTTTTTTCATTCAGATTCTGGTTCTGCCTCCTGCATGTAAGAATGCATGTCCTGGCGTTTTTAACCCTCGAGGCTGCAGCTCAGGCATTCCTTGTAAAAACGGGCCGAATTGGTCAGCCTAAATCATGTACAGGCGGAAATTACAGCCTAATTCTAGGATGATCTACAGGTGTATATTGAGGCCATCGCTCTTAGGTTGGAGGCCTATATATACATATTCTATAGTAGGTCAGGACTTCTTTGGATGTGTTCTTCGTGTTTGGCTCCCAGACACTACTCTCAGTGGGGGCACTCACAACCCGCACCGGTCCAGTCGTCCTCTTCGGGCCCGAACGCCATGACGTGCATAGACTTCCAGAAGCAACGCCACGATCAAGGCCTGGAGCTCCGGAGCGATCGGCGCCAACCGGGTCCGGAGCTCAAGGCCCGGTTGGCCAAGGAGGTTCCGCCCTCCTTTAGACGAGGTTCCTGCGAAGAGTCGGTGGAATTGGTGTGTTTTGTTTGTTTTCTTTCTGGAAAAACGAGGTTCCTGGATACAAAGAAAGGCTTCTGGACCTTCAGTGTGTGTTTGTGTGTTGGATTCTCGAAAGTCTCTATATATAGTTACTGTAAGGTAACGGTTGTGCTTGTTTTCCGTTAGGTTGAGAACCCTTAACTTGAAAGGTATTAGTGGCTGAAATGATCAGCCAGTCTTGGCAACAAAGCCAGTGAATTGTTCAATGCCGGAACAAACCGTTGGAAGAGCATTGGTTCTTAATGGTTCTTGTGCAAATCCCAAACCAAGGCTTGAACCCTTGTCGTTTCTGCCATGTTGAGATGCAAGCCCACAGGTGTATATTGACTCGAGTCTGCAGTCGTCTAAGTCTTGAACCTCAAGCCTTCCTCCAACACATCTTTGCACAAAATAAATACGCTTGACCTTTCTTGCAATATGGCCGCGACATTTGTGTTGCCCCGCAGCAAAGCTTTGACCCAAGAAGTTGTGCATAGTTGCGCTGTCTTTTAGAAAAGACAATGGAGTTTAGACATAGGGTCGCTGAGTGTCCAGGCATGGCTGGCTTGAGATTCAGGTGTTCTACTGGTATATTGTTGGCACCCCGCCCAGCGTGGATCACAGATTAGCAAATGCTTGGACAAACCGAACACAATGTTGTTGACTGTTGATGCATAATAAGCCCCTAGCTGGAGGGGCGTTCTCATCACCAGGCTTTGCTGGGTAGTGTTTACTTACTATATTATACTATTCCTCTTAGAATATGACCATATGACTATGACTGATCATGCGATCATATACATGCGATCATCTGTTTCATTCATCATCCCAACTGTGAAATGGAACAGCGACAACTCCTCCCCTCGCCCGTCCCGCTCAGCATCGGCGCCACGTTAGCAGGCGGGCGATCGGTTGGAGTGTTTCGGTTTTTCGGTGCCACCTGTTTGGCCACGCTCCGCATCTGCCATGACTCCGTCACCTGTTGGAGAGGCCGGGGCGAGAAGTATTAGAATCCTTCTGAGCAGGTGTTGGGATGAGATGAGCCCTTCTGAGAAGAATCTTTCAATTTAGGTGAGAAAAGAATGGGTTCTGAAACCTTAGCTAAGTATTATAAGTAGAAAAAATCTTTCCAAGGTTTCCCTTGCTTCTAAAATCCACAGACTATTATGAACCTCCCGTCCATGTATATCCCATGTAGGATCTTCAAGAGCTTACAAATACATGAATCGGCCCAAGAGGTAACCTTAAAGATATTGAACATCGTGGGCACTTAGTCCAGGCACAGTCATATGGTAGTGGATTGATGGACAAATTGTATAAAGTAAATTTAATATATATATATATATTATACATAAAATCAGTTATAATATAGTATAATCATATTATCCAATTCCTGTAGGGATTTGTATGACCCTCTTTTGCAACCGTGACTGCGCCATCGAGGTAGAGAAATGGATGTCCTTGGAGGGGTATGTCATCCGAACGAGGCAATTGTTTCATGGAGGTTCCGAACCGTTGCAGAAGCATGAATCCACTTCTGATCCTTCTGCATCTGTCAGCTGAAGGGAGCTGTTTCTTTATAGCTGGAGGGAGCTGTCCCTATGTGTTGGGAACGCAGCTGAAACATCCCCCATGAGTGGGCCGAATCACCCCTTGACAGGCAATCCAAACACCCCATCACCCCACACCGCCCCACACCCAGAGATGTGCCTTGCGTCCCATGCCTGGCGTCTCAAAGGAAAAAGGGGAGTCGGCAGAGCTATACAATGGATGCCAGCAGATGCAGGTCTTCAGTTTCCTTGGGTTTTTCTTGACCTCAAGACGGCTCCCTTTGCCCAGAGAAGTGGCCCAGAGAACCCCAACTCACCAAGACATCAGTTCTTGTTCGAGCATCCTATAGCCAGTCCCTGGTCCCATCAAGTCCCTGGTTCACGGAGGCACATCTGCAATTACCACGGAGTTTCTCAGAAAGGCCTCGAACGATGCACCTGCTCGGATCAGAGGCCTAGGGGGCCGTCGAGTGCCCTCCCCCTGGCCACAGATCTGAGGACTCCGACTGGTCACCCGGCACCCGGTCCGGAGTCTCCGGGCACCGTCGAGCTCGGGTGGACGTCCCGTCTGAGCCAACTTCCAACGATACGAATGCATCTGAAATGCATCCCAAGACCCTTCAGCTAAGCTGGGTGTCAGGGATCAACAACTGGTTTACCTTTCCAAAATGAACAGAACCCTAACAAGCATCCCGTCCTTTCGCAAGTGAAACCTGGTCCGACCGACCTCATTGATATATTATGTTGTTGCATGACTGGACGCAGTGACATGAGGTCCTTGACCTGCAGGGGAATGTGACCTTAAAAGAGTCAACTTTGCAGGTGTTGATGTTGATCTTCCACCAGGGGACCACCAGTCAGTCAGGGGAATGTCCCACCAGGGGAAGGTCAACACCCGCCCAAATTTTGTGGGGTCTGGATATAGACCACCCCGTTGGCCCTCCAACGCTTGCAAAATGTCCGTGCACGACCCAACGGCCCTTCAGTTTCACTGGGCGTTGGACAAAAGACGGTCAAAGATGCTATCTACTAGTAACAAGGGCATCGCTACTAATAGCTTCTAGGTGCTAGTAATAATAGTGCCCTTGTTGCTGGTAGCGATGCCCTTGTTACTAGTAGCTTCTTACTTGGCAGGAAAAGATCGGTGCCAAAACTATCGAACAAAAAAACGGCATCGACTCATCAAACATCGACTCAGCGCGTGTGTTTTGGGGCGACAGTGCAGGCACAAACGACGAATTGATCTAACTATCGTGATTGAATCTGAATGCTCCAAAATGAGCCGAATGTCTTGATATTATGTTTGTAGTGTTTGGACACGTGTTGTATGGCTCCACTCAATCACCCTATCGAAGGTCGATGGTTTTCTTCCAACCGAAAACCGGTGGAAAACGTCGATGGTTTTCTTCTCATCCTGGTTTCACATCGGGGGATCCAGGCATTCCGGATGCGGAGGGTCCAACAAATCCTCGAAACGTCCGGATTTGCTCCAGTGTTTCAGTGCAATCGATCGGCTTTGCATCCACATTGGGGTTGTGGCATCCACATTTCGATTCCTTTAGATTGAGCGCAGGGTTTCCCTGTTTCAGCCTGCACTACACATGCTTTTTCATTGGCAACCGTCTCCTTCAATTCAACAGCTTCTGCAACTAACTGATCTCTCTCTCTCTGTGTAAATTGAACTTGTTCTGCATAAGACGCCTCCATAGTTGCCAAATGTCTTCTGTGAACATTGCTCAGCCCCATTAAGTCTTTTACTATTTATGGCGAGTTTTGCTTTTGCGTTAACCTTTGATCTGGCTGAACCGAGAATTTAGCCCTTTAAACGCATGTGATACTGGGATCACAGTACCCAAAGGTTGATTTCAAGAGCAGGACACACTGTTCATCTGATCCTTGAGGTCAGTCAGGTTTGGGCAAACTAAGTAAACGTGAGGCATATATAGACATACAAAACATATATATAATGGCTTTAATATATAATTAGTATATATCGACTATATCGACACACAACCAGACCACAGAACATCCGCTTTGCTGTCCGTTTAGCCCCTTTTTGTTCGGATCATATCCGCTTCTTTCAGCTTCACAAAGAGCCGCAGGGCCACCTGCTTCACCAGTGAACAAACCGCTTGGGTGTTGTGCAAGCATAATGGGAAGAACTGTGAGGGATGAATAGATCTCATGGAGGTTGAAGGATGTTAACTCTTCTTCCAACAGAGAATTCTGGGAGCCCCAAGGGGTCCAGAAGCCTAGGGTACATGTGTCTCTACCCACGACCTACATGCAGCACCAGCCCCACAGCTATACACGAAGAAACACCACGTCCGTTTGAGCCCCAGAAAGCATGCCCCAGAAAGGATATGCATCCCCCAAGCAATGTCAACGCCAGAGTGACATTGCTTGGGCTTCCGAAGGCCAAGGCTTGGGATTGGTGGGCAAAACACCTCAGCAACGAAGCACCAAAGGAGTCCAAAGGAGTAGTGAAGTTTCATTGTTTCAAGTACCTAAAGCCAGGGACTGATCCTATATGAGGCTACTCCACATACTATCACATACTAAGAAGAGTCAGTTGGGGTTCTGTAGCTTGCATCCTTATCAACCCAGAATCAGAGGTAATTAAGCTACGGCCATGATCAAGACATCAACGGCAAGTTAGAGGAATTTGTCATACAAATTGACGACATGTACATCGGATAGAGGCACCTAACCAAAAGTAATATGTCCCCTAATCCCCTACTGTATACCAAGAGACCCAATAAAGGATATGCTTTTTGGTAGTAAGGCATGCCCCCTACAATCCACCCTTTAAGATTCAAAGCAAAAGAAACGATCCCTCAGTGAGGTCTCTTGGTGTTTATGTTGGTAGGTTCAAACACAAAAAACTATATGTTATAAATGTAATTGATATAGTTTATGGGTTGGACCTGAATAGGAAGGACCCTCGGGCCCTAGGTAGATCCTGATCTTAGAAACTCCCAGAGATGCCTCAAAATCAAAGCTCCAGATTGCTCCCTTCCTCCTTGACCGAAGCTCTCCCTCACCTCCAGCTCGCGGATGGTGGATTGAGAAGGTTGAGCCTCCTGCGGGAGAACGGACACAAAAATACTCACAAGCTCCCAAGCATACCAAAGGATCAAAGGATCCCTTTTGGTGTGAAAGACCCCAAAATGAACTCCAAGCCTCAAACACACACCCTTAAACACCTGCCAAGGACCTGCGAGGTGCTGGACCTTGGCTGCTCCCCGCGAGAAACTTCATGACCCCAGGGTTGCAACATGGAACATCCACAAAGAGGAGTGCCACGGCACCGGGACCATCCGAACTCCAACAGCCATTCCTCGCATCGACGGAGACTTGGTCAGAAGGGGCAAGCTGGAATCGATGCAACTCCCCCTCGAATCGAAACACGGCAAAATCTGCTGCGGGGGGCAGAATTAGTTCCGAGTTTTGTGGATCTTGGTTTTAATATGTTTTAACATGTTTTAATCCATGCATAATCCATGCATATCCATGCTCAAAACAGGATAAGAAGCCATCATTCGGGCCTCAGTAATCTTCTGCAGTGCTCCAGGAGCAGCATCCTGTCAGGTGAGCATGGGTCAATCGCTTGCCTTTCCTTTGTGTGTAGCTTACACAAACGAGGTCGGCACACCGTGCCGCCTGCCAAGGGTGCCCCAGGTCGTGACGGTCTCACCACCCCCATGCCAATCGGTGCCTTTTCACTGCGTCCAACGTGTCTGATGCATCCCATGCCAATCGAGACGGCGGTCTAACAAGCCAGCCACACCCGAAGATGCAATAGTAGCGGAGACCTGCATGGACGGCTGACCGTGCATCTCGTGTGGCCACGAGCATGGGCATCCCATGGGTCGGAAGTGGGTATTGTGTCCGTCTACAGTCCCTCAACACAAAAACGTCCATCCAAAAAGTTCCAGCAAATACCCCGCTCCAAAAAGACCACGCAGGAAGCCATTGGTGCTCGAGTTGTCTGATTCTTCAAGGGGAGCTTTCTTTTTTCACGGGGCACTGACTTTGCTTCCTGGGTTGAACAAACAGGACAAGCCATGATGACCTTTTTGCCAGTTCCAAAATGTTCGAAAACCATCTATTCACCAGTACTCCCACGGCGACCTAGTTGCGGGGAAACACTGCAGTTGGGGAAAAGTGTTGCGTTGTTTGATCTTCCCCTCTTGCAGCAATAGCTTGAGACTGGATCAACGACTCAACCAGTTCCATGGGCGACGCGACCCATGGACCTGGGCAGTACATCCGGGATCGGATCAGCGCCTTCCGAAGTGTTTGGCCCAAAGGCAAACACTCATCCGATTGGAAAACCCCAAGAAGCAGAAGCCTTAAGCGAATGCAAGCGCCGGGTTGGGGTTGGGGAACTCCCTGAAGCTCCGGAGGCTCCCTGGATTCAAACATTCTGGATCACCCCGGCGATGCTCCCTCGGCTCCCTCCTGAGCACAACATTCATGTGTTTTCTACGTGCTTTTTGATCTATTGCGAGACACCTGATACGCTTGTGCCTTATGCCCCAAAAGCTTTAACCAACATCTAACCCGGCAGCTCTGTACACTAACAGCGGCCTGGAACCACCAGCCAAGGAATCCATCGCCTGCACTTCGCGGTTTTTCGATGTGGGAAGGTCTCTAGTCGCTAGGCGACCGCGGTCGGCGGAAAGCGACGCCAAGTCCAGCTTCTTCCAAGTGATCATTTTGGAGTCCCCAAGTGACCTTTTACAGACTGGGATATCAAAAGGTCACTTTGAACAGCCAGGCTTATGCATGCTTATGCTGCAATTTTGGTGGGGAGTTGGGCGGGCCGGCAATTCCTCCCTGTGTGGCCCCATGTCTTTTTGGTCCACCAAGTCCTACAAGGTCCGTCTGACATGCTGCATGACCTGCGAAGCGCACCTGCTTCGGACGTCCGCAGGATCTCAGAACATCCAATTTCACAACATGTCACGACTCACCTCAAGGGGGCTCATCCTTTGAAGAGGTGGGAAGGGATGGGAAACGATCATGGTTGCCAAAGATTTGCCTGGTAAAATGAGTTTCATATATGTTTCATGTCACCCAGAGGTATGTACCTCTTGGAATCACACGATTCTTCACCCCATGACCCTCCCCGTCGCCGAAACACCACGCGCGTCGATGGTTGGCGCGCCGATGCCCAGGCGAACGGCACCTCGTCCAAGGGCAACGTATCCAAGGCTCCACTGGACGCCGCCAGCAGCAGAGCGGTCATCTCCTAAAAACGGAGATACGCGAGCCGTGGCGCGCCGAGTCGCTCGAGCCTCTCGCTGCTTGATGCTTTTTCCGGTGAAAGGCGGTATGAGGGGACATATTGGGGGGGCTGAAAACGGGCGGAGTTCCGGGTGACGCTGAAAGTGCTTCAAACGAGGCGCCACACAGTCAGGTTTTCGTTGTGCGCCGTACTATTTGTGGTGGGAAATAGGATTCGTCAGTCTGAAGGTTGAGATGTTGAGGGGCCTCGAAGATCTCAACATCATGAAAAGATGTGGTGCTGGATTCCTGGGAAGGAACAGCCAATCCTCTGGTGGAAGCGAGAATGCACGTAGCAACTGAATCACCTACAGACCGGGCCACTGTGAACAGTGGATGAAAAGATATCATCACTCAAGAAGGATCCGGAGGTGCTCACCCTGCATTTCGATGACCATTTGTTTGGGATCTATACTTGAGTGGTCCCCAGCCCCTTCCAGGCTGCCAAAACGGCCCCCCAAAGAGGCACATTGGAACACCTGGTTGAAAGCTGAGTAGACTTTCTCTCACATATCATCGGATTCTGCTTGGCACAAACCAAAGGTCTCACATCCTGCAGTGGAGCATTGGAGCAGCAACTTGGAGCCCCAGCTGGTGTTTGGGATGCCGTAAAATGATCCCAGCGCCCATCCTTAATACCCCTAGTGTGGACACACTGTTTGGGAAATAATGGTTAAATCACAACAGAAACATTCACAGGTTCAATTTGCCCAAAGGGTGCTGGGTGCCCCTTGACGTCTATAGATGAGTTCATCCTCAACAGCTTGAAGTTGGGGTATGTCGATGGATCCCGGATCCCAACATCGCCATGGAGATCAGAGAAGCATTTACCACACAAAGAGCATTCAATGGGACCACTCGCTGGAAAACCCAGTGGATTGGTCTGCTAGTGAGCCATCTGAACTCTTCAAAATCTTTCTCTCCCCACCAGTGAGCCATCTGAACTCCAAGCCTGCCACAACAAAGGCGCATCTGCAGGCTGCCGCAGGGCCGCGGCAACACACTGGCAGAAATTGCACAAAGATAGGCGGATCACTTAAGAGTGGCAGAACGGGTCCAGTGAATCTACTGATACGTGACCACCTCTATAGCTGCGTACTGCCCTTGTGTATCAACCCCTTGAATCAGACTCGTAGTACTCGTAGCAACACAAATTTGTTAAACAGATCTATACAGCAAACTGATCAAAGACTGACTCCAAAGGTACTTGCTGCTTGTTTGCCTTCATCCGTCTACCCCTACACCCTCCGGACCCCCCCCGTCCGTGGCAGTCCGGGAAACCTTCTTGGTTTCCCTCGCTGTGACGGTGGTCGGTCCAACGATTCCGCCTCCATCTGACGTGTCTGGTGGCGATCCACCTCCTGTTCCGCTGGCCGGAAGCGAGCCTCCGGAAGGCGCTGCTGGTGGAGTGTGCTGCACGATCAGTGAGGCACTTCTTGTCGCATAAAAGGTGTTATAAACTCAATATGAGAAAAGGAACATACACGGGTTCAAACAAATCATTGGGCTTCTACTGCTGATTTTACCGGTAGTTCTACTGGGACGCTGTTTATAGATCTACTGGAAGTTCTAGTGGTTCTACTGGCAATCAAAGTCCACCTCTACCTTCCCACCCTCCATACATGGCTCCTAATGCTCCCTAAACACTGGTAGGTTGACCTCCTGAGTAGTCTATTCTGCTCATTTTATGTGATCTCCAAGAATTGGGGTCTTGCAGCTGGGCCCCATGGTGCACCATTCATCGAGTCGCGGAAGAAGCGCTGCTGCGGCGTCGAGTCACCGCCTCCGACTCCAAGGCCAGTAAGGTGCGCAAATGCGCAGCGACCGCCTGGCTGGTTCTAGAACACGGTGGGGTATCGAGTTTAATGCGATTCCAATGCCTTCTCACTTCTCAGCCGGAGAATCGCAAGCGATTTCTTCTTTCTTACGAGTCAATATATAATCATGAATGCAACTTGTGGCGGGCCACCCCACTGGTGAAGCTTATGTTTTCAGGTATCTCCTCGGTACAGGTGAGTTATACTAGTGGTTTTCCTGCATGTTATAGTAATGCCCTTTGTTACTAGTAGCTTCTTGTTCCTAGAAGAGATGGCCTCCAACCTAAAAGCGTCCCTCCTAGAAGCGATGGCCTCCAACCTAATAGCGATGGCTCATGGCAAAGCCAGCACAACTGAGACCTCCTCCGACAGGCTTAGGCCTACTGCGATCGGTTTTCTGTTTAAAAGAATTGAGAGTGTCAGTTTCAGAAGGACCTTCCACTTTTTGAAAACAGGCTCCATCCCAGACTCCTCGACCCAAACAAAACAGGGTCCATCTCGGGGCCAAGATCCCAATTCTCATCCGACCGATCCAATTCCCCTCCCAAAAAGGGCGACACCTGTAGAGCAGGTGGTCGGACGTCTCGTGCCTTGGCCTACCGCTCCACGGCTCGACCGACGGACCGACCCGGTCTTACGGGTGGACGGAGGTGTGACCGGTGGACGTCGTGGTCCAGGAGAAATCAGAGTTGGGGCCACTAGAAACAAGAGAGGGCAGGAGAGGTTTCAGGGTTTCACCCCATATTTGTTGGCCACTAAATTCCCTCGTTATGTGACTATATAATACTATATATAGCCTTAAGCATCTTACGATCCAATGATAGACTAAACTGGCAAGCTCCTGGGATTTTTGGGCAAAGTGAGCCATGCTTTCCTCTATCACCAACTTATGTAATTAACTTGGCTGAGGGCTCAATGACCGAATAGACACATATGTTCCGATCAATCCACTGAAGGAACATCCCAAACTCAAAAAATAACACTGATCAGATTCAGCCAACCCACTAGCTCAAGTGGACTTTCAGAACTTTCATCCTCGATCTTTCAGGTTCGAATCTGGAACACCGGACGGAACATCTGCCCCAAAATTACACAAGCCTCAAGCCGCGGAAAGGCCGAGGAAAATGCGAAGTTGCTTTGTCATCATTGTGTCATCACTATTGTAAAGTCCGTACATTATAAACATCTATAAACCATGTTCTTCACGACCAAGAAACACCAAGCGAGAGTTTTCTTGGACTGAACTGTGGTGGACAACTTCCATGCTAGGCACAGTAGACCGATTCGCATTCGATGCTCGACGAGGCTGTTTGATTCACAGCCGCAGCGACCAGGTACTCAGGGACTTGGGCACTTTCGTCCGCTGCATGTGCTTCTCCTTGATTCCTGAGGACTGGAAAGGCCTGCCTCATCCGCTGCTTTGCTGAACCCGCTCACTTCAGGCGGCCAGCTCATCCTTTTCGAAGCAGAAACTTCTGGATGCCTGATGCATATGGATTCTGGCTGACGGGGCCCGAACATCGTCGCCTGTAGAAGGAAAGGAAGACGGCCCGAGCAAAAATCTGCGCCACGCTGCAACAAAAACATCTGCCTGCGAGCAGCGAGTGTTGTTGGACGCGGATGGAATCGTTGTCTGAATCGTTGTCTCGTGACTGCCAAGGCGTGCCTTCATACTGCCAGCAGTGCAGCCAGGTCCTTGGCCCATCCAGTTCCTTATGGAGCGTTTCAGGGTGAAGAAACTATTCAATTGACATTTGAGGATATTTGAGGTACAAACTGACAAACTCCATGAAATAATCTTCGGAAGTGGAAGACCACCTGCTGTGTGAACGGAAAGCTGGTCTTCTTTATTCCTTTTGGGGCCATGCCATCCATACGTCACCATCGAGTGATTTCAGGGAGTGTAGATCGAGTGACCAGATGCCAGACGGCCCAAGACGCCATGAACGTTGAGCACTCCAATGCATTTTAAGCAGCCCGTGGGTTGGGGAGTCCTTTTTTTTGATACACAGCGGCAGACAGGCCAGCGGATGCACCCCGATGTAGTTCCTTTTGGAGAGTAGAAGGAAATGGTTGGTGCATCAAAAACATATACAGTACTGTAGAGACAGAATCCAAGACACAATTTCCAATGATTTACTGTTCGATATGTTTGGAATGTCACATCCAATTGCAACAAAGAACCCCTATGAACTTTCTCATTTGCTTGTCCAGAAAGAAACAGGCCGACTCGTTTGTTTGGCCTAAGGCCTGCGGCGCCGAATCGGTTTCTCTAGATGGCCTCAGGACCGCTGGTAGAGCCCAGCCCAAAACGCGAGAAGCTGGCGCCTGGCAGACGCTGGGTGCGGCACCCCAGGGCTGACATTGGGCTCCAAGGTGAAACCATGGAAAGATGTGAGAGTTACACGAAACGACGAACACATCACATGGTTTCGTGGAGTGAAAACCCCCTGTTGGTAAAGGAAACTAAGTAGTCTTCCAAGGGACCATGCCATCCACTTCCATGGAAATGTGAGTCAGAGTGTATGTTTCAACTGATATTTAACCGTGGATTTTGCTGCCTCAATTCCGCATAATTCCGCCGTGCTTTCATTAACCTTCCATCAAGGGAACGACAGCTATGTTCTTGCCGTTGCCTCCAAATCAGTCAGTCAATGCAAGTTTGTGAATGTCAACTGGAAAGGTAAGGTGTTGCCCTGGCGCATGATCAGCATTTTGGCAGCATCTGTGAACAACATCCGGCCACTAGAAAAGGCTGCAGCACATGCTTAAAAAGAGAACGTGCTATCATCTATCAGCAACATTCATCGTCTAGCGTCTCTGCACAAAGTTCTTTCTGCCACTCCCTCCAGCGCACAACGTCTCTCTCGCAGCTTGTTGCTCAAAGAACTTGAAGGACTGTTCCATGTGATCGCCACTGTGCCAATAGCCGCCGTACTTTAGAAAAGCCCTCTGATCTTGTTCACCCCTGCTGCTTGGGCCACACCGTGCAGTTTTTCTGTCCATGATTCTCCGGCCTAGCATAGCTTGATGGACGTGTGAAAGCCATCCCTTCGATATTTTGTGTGTGTGAGTCATTTCCTTCTTGGTTCACAAGGAACAACACCTGGTGCTGATACACCCAAAATTGCTTGGTTCAACATTGTGGTGCGTTGCTCAGCGTCCTGCGTCATATTCCTCGGGTGATGACAGCTAAGCTAAGCTATGTTTGGGGTCCTTGTTGAGAGACGTTGAACAACGTGCAGGTTGATCAGAGCACCTCACCGCCAGGGTCAGCAACAAAGAAGGTAAAGCCAAGCCGAGCCAAGCCAGGTGTCTGCAGATTTTGTCGGGAGAGAGCTGAAATGTCACAAGATGTGAATGGTGTGTGTGTGTGTGCTTCTTGACCTGGTATAGGTTCTTGACCTGGTATAGGTTTAGACGTTAGAGTCTAAAGTTGGTATGCTTATGAACCTATGAACACAAAAGCAAGTCAAACGATCCCACAAAAGAACCGCTCGGCGCAGTTGCTTCACGCCTGGCTCAATAGCAGGGAAGCGGCTCCGAGAGGGATCCAGCACGACCTGAGGGACCCCGCGACCCAGAGAAGACGTGCGAAATCCAAAGTTTCGAGGAACCTACCAACCCTATAGGGATCTAAGTACCTTCTCAGCAGGTGATTGGAGACACCGCTATGTAGGTTTGGAGGGTCCAAGTACCTTGTCAGAAGGTACTTGGACCCCTAGGCCAAGAGAGGTAGCCACTAACCTGAAAAAGGACCTGGAAATCCTGGCGTACCGTCATGGGATAGTCGAACGATCGGGTTCTGAAAAACCTCTAGTGGTAGGGTTCCTAGCCTGCCACTCCCAACAACTGATCGATGATTTTGTTGGGCAAGGATGGATTTATCTGATTCATCTATTGGACGAATCACTTTGGATATTGTGGCGTTTGGACAAACAGGTCAAAAGAACTCAAACAAGGAATTTACTCTATACGCAATGGCCTTGTCACCTGACAGGTTGTGGAAAAAGTGTACCGCCCAAAACTTGCCGCATTGATTTGGCCAAACTCTTCACAAGAACCCCCCTCATCCACCAGCCGCATGCTGATACCACATTGAGCTAACAAAACATGCGCAGCAAAGCCACAAAAAAAAGAAACCTCTGCCCAATTTCTTGGGTTGCTTTAGTCGGAAATAATAACACATCAGCACGGCTGTCTTCTCCGTTGCTTTAGTCCGAGGTCAATCAGCTTTTTGGCCTCACAACCTCCACCAGCGCCTCTAACAGGCACACACACACAAGTCGAGCTGCGCGAAAAAGATTGCGACAAGTTCTATTTTGTTTATGAATTGATTTGTGCCTGTGGGCCTAGGGAAGCATGCAGGAAATCCGTGTCTTTAGGCACACTCCCGACTCTCGATCGTCCTTTTCACCAGAAGAGTTTACCAAATGGGCCAATCCAACGAAATCGGCACCGGTACCATCTGCGAAGGAAATCCGACTGCTGCTGGATGTCCCATAAAGAGTGACCCATTCGGGAAACTGTTCAAGGTGACCCATCCGTCTCTGTCCACAGAAGGCCTGGCCAAGAAGCGATTCCCACTATTATTGATGCCTTGGGATTTTTCAACCTTTGGTCGAGGTCATAAGCCTTGAAAATAGGCCTTATTAAAATAGGCCTTATTATAGGCAAATTAGTCAGCTCTTCGGCTGCTGAGTTTATGTGTTTTCGCAGCGTTGAGAGGAAAAACGCATCATCAACGGTTCCAACCTCGTGCGCCCAGTCATCAAAAAAGGAAACGGGGCACCAAGGTTCCTGATCGTCGAACATCAAGGAAAACATTTACTCATCCAAGACCTATATGAGGACCTTGTGAAGAGGTCAATACTTGGATTTGGATCTCATGTGACAGTGATCACGGATCTGAACGCCCACTTCAAACTTGGGGCGTGAACAAAAAGAGCGAAACCTGTGAGAGTCCAACTGCATGGGTGGTTGGACGAAACAAACATGGTCCGAGTTGTGAAATGATTCCAACTGGTTTTGAGAATTCTGTGAAGCTTCTCCCTTTTCACGGGTCCAGTGGTATCAGAGTCAAAGACTTGTGCTTCATGACCCACTGACTGTCGGGGGCGGTCGGGTTCCCCTCCCGTTTTCAACCCATTGGGATTCGGATGGCGTCGTCAGACTCTTCGAGGCGTCGACCAGGTCAGACCCTTCGAGGCGTCTGGGCCTGTCCATCCGCCAAACTTTGCAGCTCTCGTGCAGCCAGGCCATCCTTGGGGTTAGGACCCTTCGAGTGTGGTCATGAGTGTCACAAAGATCCACTGGCAAAAGAACTCCCACAAGAACGCATTGTCCAAGTTGTTTTCTATTGCAATATATATATATATATATCATCTGCATGCATGTCCAATAAACAATAAAAGATCTGCATGTCCTTCATCTGCATGCCACAGGCCTAAGATGTTTCAGGTGTTCTGCTCCCACCCGTTCGGGCTCCACTGGGACCGAACAACACCGAGGGCCTTGGAGCGGGGTCTGGTTGAATGGGATCACCAAACACCGAAATGACGGCGATGCGCTTTGGATTTCCCATGATGTTGTGGTATTTGGGATTGCATGTAAGTGGGACTAGACTGGTATTTTCGTCTCTTAGGTTTCTGTGGTGGCTCTCAAAATCGTGACCAAGACCTCAAACATGTGGGGCGACCTTCCCAATCCTCTTCAGCAGCGACCAGATCCTCATCCGAGCAGCATCCACCTTGGAGCCCGGAACCGCAATGCCCAAGGCCTGGTGCTCGAGAAAATCCGCTTTCTTGGTTACACCATGTACAGGGCCTGAAGAGGATTCTCGAACGCAACACGATCGAATCATACACCATCTCTTTTCTGGTACTTGTAATTGTAATTTAGAAGACGTGAACTGTCCAGTTACCAGCTTCGTTGAAGACTTGAACTGGATAAACCCGTTGTGTGCAGCTTTTGCGGCAAGCTCCATCCGTTGTTGTTGGACCGCCAGGAAGTTGAGTCGGTAGTTGAAATCATTGTTGTTTGTTGTTGTTGCTTTTCTTCTTCAAAAGCAAAGCAAACTACTTCCATGCAGGCTCCATGCAGTACCGTGCTTGTTGAATCGGTCCTGCATGGGTCTTCTCCTTTCTACACCTGCGAAGCTGCAGCTTCACAGCTTTGCTTGCAAATTGAAGGCACAGGAGCATGGACAGCCTGGTTGTAGTCCCTCCTGAATGCATCAGTGGAAATATTTGTATACTAGCAGGCATTGTACATCCTTGTTGGCTTGTTGCTGTCCCGCTGTTGCTCGCAGCTTGCGGCATGTTGCCGACCATAAGCGGACTGCTTTGGAGTTTGGTTTGCAAGACTCGGAAGCTCTTGAAGCACTTGTGCCAGGCAGGGTGCATTCGTTGATGCGCTGTGCCGCTGAAGGATTCTTGATTCCAGGCAACCTGGTTTACATGGTCTGCCTTGGTATCTGCTTGGTTCTTGCCATTCCGAGGCTGCTTTTGCTTGTTTTGGGCACTCTGACTCCAATTTCAACATTGACGATCCTCAAATTTTCAACCTCGCCATTACCCTCTATCTGTCCTTGAGAGGATTCCAGCTCCATCCCAAGACTTGACAACCTTCTTGCGCTGTGAAATTTGAGCCTCTGGAGCATCACCTGACCCCCATCTTGAGTGTGCCAACATATTGACATTGAATTTATTTGCATGTTTTTCGTGGGAGAAAGACTGACTTAATCTCATTACAACATCACCCCACCTGGTGCCTAGATGTTACTCACCACCTGATCCCCCCACCACGGCCCAGCATACCTACCACGTACCCAGTTGCGCGTGTCCTTCAGGGAGTGTTCCGTCAAAGGAATGCCGCGCTCCTCCGTTCGAAGAAGACGTGCATTTTTAGGGGATGATCGGGTATAATTTTGGTCTATCCTATTCCCTGTAACAGTGCATGGGTCGTAAATGTCAGTAATGGCCTTTCTGTATATTCTATTCTCTGGGCCCAGCGGATGGTTATGTAGTCTAGTAAAGGCCAACATCTCCAAAATATTGTTTGCCGACTGTTACAGGCAACGGGACGGCAGTCACAAACACTGGTCGTTGGCTAGCGCAAGAGCAAAAAGGGATGATTTGTTAGGCCTTTTCCCTCAGAAAAAGAAAAGGGCTAAATACGGCAAGCGTTCTTCACATTGTTCCTAAGTCCACGGGTGATCACTGCGGGTTTTGGATGTCCTCTGTTAATGAGGAAGACCTGAAGATGGCAGGTCTCATCTTGAAGAAACAAAAAACAGCAACATGTACATGGTTATATATATATATATGCTCCCCCCCCAAAGATCTACAATTTTTGCCTCCCACATGCATGTCTATGTCAATATTATAGATAGATCTACAAGCACTTCAAAGAGCTTGGTATCACACAAAAACCAACCCTTACACTTACACATCAAGGAGTTTATTACATCACTGTCAGCCTTCAAAATATAAATGTGACAGATTTTCCTAAGGATCCTATACGCAAGAGAACTGTCTAAAAGGGAAAATGCAAAAGACATACCAAAGCTTTATTTGACAAGACCCTCAATTGCTTAGGGATGATACAGAACGTTTGATTTAGTTGAAGGACTGGACAATGTATCAAAATCAGAGTCTGTAGAGAAAATAAAGAAGAACGGTAAAGGAATGAATGTATTGAATGACAATTTGACAGATGCAGCTAATGTAGATATTTGGCACTATTATACAAACACACCAACAAAATGCTGACACAATTCAATAGACATTGAAAAAGGTAATTACATATATAGATAATGTATGCTCGAGGAATGCATTAAATATGGTTTTTGTTGTTATTGCATACTTTTTTTCTTTTTTAATGACACTGCGCTTATGACACTGCTCTTATGAGTGGGACAAGTAGAAAAAAAGCTTTTTGATAGGAAAAACATGTGAGATTCTGGGAATAGATGAGTTGACTGAAAGGGGGTATCCATTAAGGAAATGGCACAGGTATTATATATATATATATCGAGTTTAACATGTCAAAACCGAACATAAGTGATTATACCAAACATAAGTTGTAACTGAACTGAACCAAAAGTTGAACAAAGTCAAATCTACAATCCAAACACAAAAGCCAGTTCTACAGAACTTCAGTTGAGGGTTGCATTACAGTTGAGGATGAAAACACTTATAATATATGAACCTAGCAATGTATAGCTTCAACAAGGAGATTCAATTAAGACGCTGATCTGAATTCGTTTAATCAAGTGTGGAATGATAAGTTATGATACATCCATTTGAAAAGGTCCCTGAGGCAATCACTTAAGTTAATATTACCAGAGCATTTACACACATTATAAAACAATGAAACTTTATCAGTTTGATACATAGAAGTTATACAAAAATGTGGTCGATTATGATACGTTGACTAAGTTTACTTTCTTGTATGCAAAGAATTACTTTCCGGCAAGTGGTATAATGTTATTCAACAACGATATAATGTGATCTACCAGGCAATATGAGACAATTTTAAGAGAAGATCCAAGATACTCGCATGCAAAGAACCCAATAAAACTAACAATATTAATTGCAAAGGTATTCAGAATCAGTTGGTGAACACAAACATATCTGATAATCAAGAAGAAAACAAATTCAAAAAGAAGTTGATAGGTGTTGTTAACTATGGATTGCTGGAAAAGGACGCCTCAACATTTTTTTGGACCTGCTTGGATTCGAGACTCAAGATGCCTAGAAAAAGTTTTTGCAGCAATCTTGAATCGTGAGTCTATATTTGTCGCTCTACTGTTTGTCTGTGTGTTTTCTTCTCATAGACTGCCTTAAAACCAAACCCAAAACCACAACCCAAAACTCTGAGGAGAATCTTTGGTTTCAGCCTGGAAGATGTGTTTTCAATTGAGTGTTTTTTTTCATTTATCAAAAAAAACACCTGTTTTTTTTTGTTGCTTTGGTCTATGCAGCCTTGAATTACGAATAAACAACAAAAACCCATGGCATGTTTGGTTTTTGTTCAATAACGCATACTGTAGGCTAAAATCAAAAAACAACTTGTTCTTTTTATGGGGGGAGCATTGCTCAATGCAAAGACCAAAGCAAACACCAAAAAAACCTTGTGTTTTTGTCTTTTTGATTAATGAAACCAAAAAACACTAAACACACTCAATGAAAACAACAAGCATCTTCCAGGCTGAAACCAAAGATTCTCCTCAGAGTTTTGTTTTTTTGGTTTTGGGTTTTGGGTTTGGTTTTGGCAGTCTATGAGAAGAAAACAAACAAACAAAAGATAGAGCAACCAATATGGACTCACGATTCAAGATTGCTAGACAAACTGTTGCTAGGCATCTTGAATCTTGAACCCAGGTCCACAAAAGCTAGTTTTTACTTTTTAAACAATGAAAACTAGTTGTTCTATTTCTTTAACGTGTTTGTCTCCAAACTATGCTATATGTATATGCTTCCCCCTGCACATTGAACACCAATGCCTTAAAATTCAGGAAAAAAAGGTAGGTCAGAACATCCTTGCTTTAAAAGGTATTACAAACGTATGAAAAAGGTAGATCTTTGGGGGGGGGTACCATATATATATATATTACATCTATTTAGTACTGGTTGGTGACTTCAGTTCAAACCTTTTTGTCAGTGAGTTCAGGTTGAACATATCTGAAACCACCACCCCGAGTGGAGACGCTTGAACCTCTGGGTCGACATCGGCCGATCTGCCGTCGAGAAATGCAGGTCTCGGCGTCTCCTTTCGTCGGTCATCCACCGACCAATTTCGTCGGTGTTCGGTGAATAGCTCGTTCCACCGGCGTTTGAGATGGTGATATAAAGGTCGGCTGTTTTCGTCACCCGGAGCTTCCGGTCACCAGGGTAGTGGTCAACCAGGGTTCTCCGGTTTTGACCCACAGCCATATTTGGCATGTATTCTGCATCCCAGCACTGACCCTGACTTGGACTCACTGAGCCTGCAGTTTTTCCAGTCTTTGAAGCTCACTGGGCCTACCGCATGCCGGCGCACGGGACGACGGGTGCGGTCTTCTGCACGTCCCGCTTTTGTTGAACATTCAAGACATAAACTACTTTTAACAAATACATCCGTTTATTCCGCCCTTAGGATCGTTCCTATACATATGTGTTTCTTTTGTTATAAACCCTCCTTAGACACTTGAAGGATTTCAAAGGTCAAGGAGGACATGACACCTCCTGACGAGTTGGTATTGAAAGGATTATAGGAACAAAGGAGCAACACTTGTCCCCAATCCAAATCCTTACCAAACAACCTCCTGAAAAATCCACCGTTTCAATAATGTCGTATTATCATGAACGCTCCTTCAAGGTGGTTCCCGCAGTGAACAAACCTGTCATCGATGTCGTCTTTTTTGCTTCAATCGTTTGTTGGGATAAGTGAAAAGGCGTTGTACATGATACCCTAGCCTTCAAGGATCTTTGACAAAAGGTTGACCTGTAGTTTTGCAATCGATATATCCTTAGAAAACATGTTGCATAATGTTGTATATATCTATGTGTCACTTCTTTGCAGTGCTTGTTTGCAGTTAAGATCGAGGATTCGTAGCAACATACCTAGCAACTTACCGGCAAACTTCTACACCATGGCAACCATGAGAACCCCCTAACTCCTTGGCAACAAGGTACCCAAACAGCCCCTAGTGCCTCAAAACCTAGGGATTTGAGACCCCAACCCTGCACGACCCCCTCCGCATGAAGGTGCAGCCAAAAACAGGTCCATGAGAGATGTGGAAAAGACTCTCCAATTGTATAAAACACTGTTTCTACCCTGCGGTTGCTTGCTCGTCACCGCACTTTTTTTCATGGCACTCTCGGTAAACACCGAGACAAGCTCAGCAAAAGTCTCTGGACGGGGTCTCATCCCCCTGCTATATACACATGTGGTTATGGCTAAAAAATTCTCAGGCCCAGCCAAAACACCCACCAATTCTCTGAGATATAACACCAAACCGACCTGTGTGATCCTATGCATTTTGGTCTTGGCTGTACCACACTTTTTTCAGCCGTTCATTTGAGGCAGGGACCAACATTTGGTGAACTAATGATGCACAAAGCGTCAAACAGTCCAACGTTTGTCCCTGCCCCCTAAGACTGATCTCAGTCCTCACTGAAGATCCATCACCTATCACCAGGATGCCCCCTAAATACAGTAGGAGAGCGAAGCACCGATGCAAAAACGTTTGTGTATGAAGATACCTCGCAAAGGAATGCAAAAGCAAACACATGCTTGTCACTCAGCTCTTTGTACACAGCCAGAATTTCTGGCTCCTCATTCATCTTTCTTCTCTCTCTGTCGGGGCCACCCTGATCACAGCTGACCTTAAAACCACCTAGCTCTGTGCTGGTCCCAACTTCCTTTTTTTCCGTCACCCGTGGCAGGCTGCACCAGCCGCGCAAGTGTTCTGCCAGGATGGAGGATAGTGATTGGACCAAGCAGTGTAGATCACCCGGGACTCCTCCGACTGCGAGATCCCAGGACGAGCGGAGCTGAAACCGCTGCTTCGGCCGGTCCGCGAGGGTTTTTGGAGGCGGAAGAAGGAATGGATCAAAAGTATCACCCGAAACACCAAGGATGTTTGGCAAAAATAGAAGGGGTGAGTTTGGTATATACCTAATACCTATTGGGTGGAACCTTCACTTGGGGTACAGTAACCCGCATTCGTCAAACAACCTAATAGTAAAAGGACATCTATGCAAAACACTCCATGGGACTGGCATCCTTACCGATCAGGCCAGGTGTGGTTGAAAAGGGTTCGGTCCAATCTATATGTACCAGCACCACGGTTTTCGGTGTGGTTATTGGATGGAACATACATAGTCAGGGGATGTCAGGGGTGTCCATAAACCACCCTTTCCGTGGTGCTGGTATGTGCTGGTATATACAGTATATTGTATAATTATATACATATATATATATATTATATGTATAATATTCCAGTCCCATGGAGAGTGTCGAATGATTCGCTTCATTGAACATCTCCTCCGTCACTGGCCATGGAACTAGTGGGATTAGAGAAGCAAAAAGGAAGACCTGAGTCCTGGGTAGATTGCGTCATACATCTCTCTTGTCTAAACTGGTCAGGTGAGATTCACCGACTGGCTCGGTAAATTGCATTGCATGTCCCACGGGAACCCGTCACAGGCTGGTGCCGGTGGCTGCAGAAATCCTTCCCACACCTTGGAGAACCCTTATATATACCTGTCAGTACCTGTCAGCCTGTGCATATCTCCAAACTATACAGATATGGTCCGTGGGCGTCACTCTATCCAGCCAACTAGCATCCAATGAGCGCCGCAAACGCCCACCCGCGCGCGGCGCAAACGACGGTCTCGGGAGCTCACAGGTGTTGAGGTGTCCTGGTGAAACCTGCATGTTCCTGATGCTGTATGTCGCTGTATGGTTCTAACGTCCAGTCCCACAGCCACTCTGGCGTAGTCCAGCCACCCAACATGTGAAACCTAGCCAGCCCGAAGAAATTTACATCTCTAGAATCTCCTCGCAGGTGCTTGTAGTCCTAATTGCCTACCCCGCCGTCTAGACCACATGTACAGACTTTCCAACAGCACACAGAACATGATCTACTTCTTGTTGGTTCCATTTTGCGTTTCCTCTGAAAGGATGTTCATAGCAATCTTGCCTCCCCAAAAAGAGGGTTGTGGAAAGAGCATTTTGGCTGGACCTTGAACACCAAAACAGGTCAAAGTATAAAACCATCAAACCATCAAAAGCATCTCTATCCCATATGGCTGTGGGTCATGGCACCAGGATACATTTTTTTGGCACGCAGTACCAGTCTACCGGTCTATCCCTACATGGTGGACCTTCCAGCTCCAGGTTTTGACCAATCCCCATATATCTACCATCCGCTTCAGGTAGTAAAGTTGTCGATCCTCTCTGAAGACATCGAGTTCTAGCATGAAAACCCAAACATGGACCTTTCCTTCACTGCTTCATGTCCAAGGCTCTTTTGGACCAAGGTAGATCTCCCGGCCATGGCCAACACGATGATTGTCCACCATCACAATGTCGTTGGCCTGGTATTTGTGGTTCACCGTGTGCGCATGGATGGCATTCTTCATGGCCTGCAACGGCAACGGACGAGTCTCGGGAACCACGGCATTCTTCAGCGCGAGAACGGATGTTTTGTTCTTTCAAAACAGTGATTGAATGTTATTGATTATTGAATATTATTGATGTATCAGTAACAGTAGTCCTCCCCCACTTCCCCACTGCTTGGCCAAATAAAAGGACCGGATAACCCCACATGATAAGTTTTACAAATTTCAAATGTATATGAACATCACTTGGGAGAGGGAGTAGTGAGATGAAAAGTCAAGAAGGAAGTGTGAGGAGAGAAGGCATATGAGGCGGTTATGCTCAGACGTGCAGTATAAGTGATGATGTGATGGACGAGGATGAGAAGGAGGGGAGGGAGGAGGTGTGTGTGTGTGTGGTAAGATGGCGTGCGTGTGTGTGTGTGGGTGTGTGATAAAGTGTCTGATGATGTGATGAACAAGGATGAGAGGGACGAGAGAGAGAGAGAGAGATAGAAGGAGGCGGAGAGAGAAGTTTGGAGGCTCTGGATTTTGCGATCAGATCCGCATGAGACCTTCAAAACGTAACACACTCGAAACGACCATCAAAGCTATCAAGTGGTCTTATCCCGACCACGGCGGGCAGTGCTAGCAGGATGTAAAGTGGAGTGAGTGAGTGGAGTGAGTGAGTGGAGTGAGTGGAGTGGAGTGGAGTGAGTGGAGTGAGTGAGTGGAGTGAGTGAGTGGAGTGAGTGGAGTGAGTGGAGTGAGTGGAGTGAGTGGAGTGAGTGGAGTGAGTGGAGTGAGTGGAGTGAGTGGAGTGAGTGAAGTGAGTGAAGTGAGAAGTGAGTGAAGTGAGTGAAGTGAGTGAAGTGAGTGAAGTGAGTGAAGTGAGTGAAGTGAGTGAAGTGAGTGAAGTGAGGTGAGGTGAGGTGAGGTGAGGTGAGGTGAGGTGAGGTGAGGTGAGGTGAGGTGAGTGAGTGAGTGAGTGAGTGAGTGAGTGAGGTGAGTGAGTGAGT